TGCGGGGCGCCCCCCCTTGCTGCCTCTAAGAAAGGGAGACAGGAGCCAGTGCTGGCTTAAAAGCTGGTTCCCCTCAGCACCGTTTCTGGGGTGCCACCTACCTCTGCCCCCCACCTCTATCAAAGGCAGCAGGGGGATAGGGGATGCTGCTGCGAAGCAGCCCCTGTCTGCAGGGATCCCAGCAGGAGCTGGGCCCCCTGGGCTGTTGCTGCCCAAGCAACCCCTATTCATAGCGGCCAGTCCTTGTCTGTGGCCAGCCCTGCGAACAGAGGCTGCTGGACTCAGTGCAAGCTGGGACTGAGCAGTCCCGGCCCACAATGATTGCTGCACCTGTTCATTTTAAATGTAGTAAGAGCTTAGCAGCTTAGCAGCTCTTACTACATTTAAAATGCAGAGCCACAGTGTGGGTGGCTCTGGAGCTGGCCTGAACCAGGACTGCTCAGTCCTGGCTCGAGTGGGCCCTTGGAGCTACCCCTGCTGTGGCACAGCAGAGCAGTGCTTATCAACTAATTGTTGATAAGCCAGATAATTGCGTTTTAACATCCTTACTTTTACAGAGCAAACAGGGAACAGAAATACATTTTAAAAAAAGAAAAATACGATGGTAAAATCCAAAAAAATTAACAGGACTCTGCAGGAGCTGGTAGTTCCTGACATTGCTTTAATTTCCTGTTCTAAGTTAAGACAAAGCTAAAAACCAAATACTAAAAATTAAATACTTTCCCCACTGCTGTTGTTACCCTGTCTTTCCATTACTTTCACAAAGACCTCTGTCTTACCCTTGTTATTCAATGTGCTGTAATACTACGCACTCAGTGTTGACTGGTATGGGAATGGGGCAATCTGGTCAAATAAATCTAGCCTTTTGGGATTTTGTCATTGTTTTAAATGTGTTCATTTTCAAGTAATTCACTCTCATTAAGCAATGATAACAGTATTTTTGGAGGGTGGATGGAGGAGGACCCGGCATATGCTCTTGTCAACCATGGTGCCAAAGCCTCCTTGAAGCATATGTGCAATCAAAAATGCACTAAGGACTTGGATTTTTGTGTTTTTAAGGAGATGATGTGGTTAGAAAAAAAAGCTTGGAGCACTTAAGTCATTAGAAAAACTCACAATTTAAATTTGCTATATATTTGAGAGTGTGAGTTTGTGTGTGAGTGAGCAAGTCTGTCTGTCCATCTGCCTGTTTGTTCAAGAACTCCTCCTAAACGGTTAACGGTAAGAGCTATGGCCACCAAATTTGGTATGCAGCTTCCTCTTATTATAACTTAAAGCAAGATCAGGATTTGGTTGTGTTAGGAGAATGGGATATGCATGGAATGCAACTGTTTTTCATAACTGTGAGCAGGGACTGACCATTGGGAGGCAGCAAAAGGCCAGAGATGGGAACAAGACATCTATAACCACACCGGGGCAGCAGGGGTTAGGGGTGGAGATAAGCTGCCTGCCCGCTATCCAGCCAGCAAAGTCTGGGCCACAGCCCGTCCAGGGGAACCGCTGCCTGAGTGACACAGCCCCTGCCAGCTCTTATATCTCCCACACCTGTGTAGTTGGAAAAGCAAACATGGAGTACCAAAAATGCGCTATTCAAGCCAAGATTGCACAAGACAAGCAAAATAATTAGAGATCTAATCCTAAAAACAATTCTATTGAATTGAGCATGACTACTTGTGAGAGAAAGTGGCTTGCAGATCAGGCTACACATTTGTAAAGCTATAATTTATAAACATTTTCCATGGAAAATTAATAATTGCAGCACATTTAATAAAAGATTGCCTTGTAGTAAGATTACTTCATTCTGTCATTTCCACATTCAGAGACTCTCATTGGCTACATTTAGGAACAATCCTACATACTAAACTAGTGTGTGCTTGGTCAATAAAGATGTTCAGCTATTTTAAAGGGGCGATTTTAATTAAAAGTGAAAAATAACTTGCTTGCTGTCTTAAAATACCATACAACGTAGTATTTAAAGATGGGCACAGTTCACACACAAATAGCCAACACTATTATAGGTTTCTGCTGTAACAGGACTATACATTTCCACTACAGTCACCTTGGTGTATCCTTGCCTTTCACACTGTATCATAAGGATGCATACTGCTGAGTCACTTACTTCCCAAAGACGGTATATTTCATATCTAGGTGTGGCTGTTTGCCATATGTTATGAAGAACTGAGATCCGTTGGTGTTTTGGCCATTGTTTGCCATGGAAACAACACCGCGAACACTGTGCTGAAAGAGAGGTAGAAATGGTAGAAAATTATGCATATGTAGTCTGTGAATGCAAAATTGCAACTGACAGCAAGGGCTTAATTATCTGCCACCCTGATTCCAAATCTTTAAAAAAAAAAAATAAAATAAAATCTGACACCCTTTCAGTTTCCAAACCCTCCTTCATGTTCTCCAACACACCCCTCAGATCTGATCCTGCCATGTCAAATGCCTCCCTTTCCTCCCAAAGATGCACTACAAACACCTCAGACCCATATAAAACTTCCCCATCTGACCCTCCACAGAAAGCACCCCTAATTCTAAATTCCCCAAACTACTGAAATTCTCCAATAATTACATCTCCTTCCCCCACTCTTTTACTGTGTGCATGGACCTTAATTAACATGTTTTCAAAACTGTTATTTAATCCCAGAACTGTGCAACACAGTTCCTCTCTTGGTCTCGAGAATGAAACCATGTGAAGAAACAAGAGTGGTATATTGAAGAGCACAAAAATACCTTTAGGTGTTCACTATATTCATCTTCAAATTTCCTGCCCCAGATGCTGTTACCACCTTTCCCAGTGCCTAAGGAAGTAGGGACAGGGATAGATTATTTTTCTCAAGGTTCAGAAAGAATCTCCAATCACAATCATTTTCAAAACATTTGAATGAGAATATTGTTATCTTAAGTTACAGTTAAAAGTCTAGACAGGCTGTAAGTTGCCTAAAACAGGAATCAGGTTATCATGTGTGTCTCAGGTGCTGTACAAACAATGAGAACCTGATCCCAATTGGGTCATATGGGTGATAATGCAATTTAAATAAATAATAAATTAGAGCAGGAGAACAAAGAACTGAGATATTCCCAAATTAAAATAAATATGATAGCAAATAGTACTAGAAGTGAACCAGACTTTCCTTCAGATAGCAAACACAGTCTGGATCATAGTCCTAAATACTAGACAGAGTACAGAGTCAGTGTGACCTGGTCACAAGCCTGGGAAACGGGCATTCAAAGCTGGCTCTCCCACTGATTAGCTGTTAAATCATGGCAAATGATCAAGGAAATAATACTAGGTACAGAATGTTGATTTTCGGGGATTGTCGAATTGAGGAAGTAAATGCGTGGTTGCACAGGTGGTGTCACAGAGAGGGCTTTGGTTTCTTCGACCATGGGACTCTGTTCCGGGCACAAGGATTGTTAGGAAGAGATGGGATCCACCTAACCAAGAGAGGAAGGAGCATTTTCGCGGGCAGGCTTGCAAACCTAGTGAGGAGGGCTTTAAACTAGGTTCGTTGGGGGAATGGTGACCAAAACCTTGAGGGGAGTGGGAAAGTTGGATACCGGGAAGAAATGCAAAGACGAACAAACAAGAAAGGAGAACCCCTGATTTGAATGGAGAAGATGGGATGATCAACAGGTTATCTGAGATTTTTGTACACTAATGCGAGAACCCTGGGCAACAAACAGGGAGAACTGAAGGCCCTGGCCCAGTCCAAGAAATATGATTTAATCGGGATAACAGAGACTTGGTGGGATGACTTGCATGACCGGAGTACTGTCATGGAAGGGTACAGACTGTTCAGGAAGAACAGGCAGGGGAGAAAAGGAGGAGGAATTGCACTATACATAAGAGAGCACTATGATTGCTCTGAACTCCAGTATATAGAGGGAGAAAAACCTGCTGAGAATCTATGGATTAAGTTTAGAGGTGCAAACAATAGCAGTGATGTTGTGGTTGGTGTCTACTACAGGCCACCAAATCAGGTGGATGAGGTAGATGAGGCTTTCTTTGGACAACTGAGAGAAGCTTCCAGATTGCAGGCCCTGGTTCTCGTGGGGGACTTTAATCACCCTGACATCTGTTGGGAAACCAATACGGCAGTACACAGGCAATCCAGGAAGTTTTTGGAGAATGTT